GATGGATGGATGGAGATGATGATTGGAATAATTGGATAGATATGATGGTTGCACAGGTGAACATGATGATTGGATGGATAGATTGGATGGATGGATGGAAAAGAAACAGAGATAATTTATATTTTGCCTTTCTCTGGCAAAGGCAGCTAAGAACAAAATACATACCAGAAGCAGATAAAAGGAACTGATTAAGTCATCATTCAGCCACATGAAAGCAACTTAGAAGGCCAACCCAACTGCCTCCTGAGGGGCCCATTGGGCAGCTGCACCAGCTCAAGCCTGGTGTAGATACTCAAGTAGGTGACACATAAATGATTTGGGGTTGCAGGCTGTCCTACTCCATATCATCATCACCCAACATGCCTTTGAGGACCTGTTTAGCATTCCCTCCCAACTCGTTTTTTCTCTTTTTTTTCCACTGGCATGAACTACTATCAGTAGCAGCTGCTGGTGTTCAACATTCTTCAACTGAGTTGGAAACGTTATGATAGGATATGAATGCATGTGAAGTCAAAGCCAATTGAAAAGAGTTGGTCTTCTTCTGTGATGTTACTATTTACTACAAGGAAGACTGGAGTTATTTGCATATAGAGAGTTGCTATTAATAGTCTGACTGCCCTTTCTGCATAAATCATGGGTTCAGTGACATTTATTGAGAGGATATCGATTCCTACTTATCAGAGAGAAAACAATTAATAGGGCTGGGTTTATTTATTTTGTCTCAAGCAAAACACTTATAATGAACTGCCCGAGTATACACCCAAATTTGCGTACGTGTTTGGCAAACCTCACTATGTGAGACGTAGAGATAAACTCTCTTACGGGTGTTTTCTTTCTGCAGAAAAGTGAATCATTGTGTTTCTTCTTTTAAAAGGTTGTTTTGCTTTTACGACAGGAGTCTCCAACCTTGGCAACTTTAAGCCGGGTGGACTTTAGCTTTGCTGGCTGGGGAATTCTGGGAGTTGAAGTCCGCCAGGCTTAAAGTTCCCAAGGTTGGAGGCCCCCATTTTAGAAGGTTGGAAGTATTTGAAGCAATATTGGGAGGACGATATGGAAAGACCAGCATCCAGCCAGCCTATTTTGCCTCAGAAGATGCTAACCACAATTGCTGGTTAAACATCAGGAGATCTTGTGGATCCAGGAGATCACTAAAGCCTGAATTCCAACACTGTCCAACATTGGGAAGAGTGTTTGTGAGGTTCTCAAAATATCAAAAGTGGGTTTCTTGCTAAGCAAGACACTTGTTAAGTTAGTTTTGCTCCATTTTATGACCTTTCCTGCACCATTGATAAGTGAATCTCCAAAGCTGATACCTTGGGAACATGGTTGTTAAGTGAATCTGGCTTCTCCATGAAGTTTGCTGGTCCAAGGGTCACAAAAGGGGATCACAGACATGATCCCAGGACACTGCAACTGTCATAACTACATGCCAGTTACCAAGCAACTGAATAGAATAGAATAGAATAGAATAGAATAGAATAGAATAGAATAGAATAGAATAGAATAGAATAGAATAGAATAGAATAGCATTCTTTGTTGGCCAAGTGTGATTGGACACACAATTTGTCTTGGTGAAAATGCTCTCAGTGTACATAAAAGAAAAGATTCATTCAAAGATTCAAGAGTCAAGAATCATCAGGTTCAACACGTAACGATAGTCATAGGTTACAAGCAATAAAATCATACTAGGAAACAATAAATTAATCGTAAAGATACAAGCAACAAAGTTACAGTCATGCAGTCACAAGTGGGAGGAAATGGATGATAAGGAGTGATGAAAAGATTAACAGTAATAGTAGTGCAGACTTAGTAAATAGTTGAACAGTGTTGAGGGAATTATTTGTTTAGCAGAGTGATGGCTTTTGGGAAAAAACTGTTCTTGTGTCTAGTTGTTCTGGTGTGCAGGGCTCTATAGGATCGTTTTGAGGGAAGGAATTGAAACGGTTTATGTCCAGGATGTGAGGGATCTGTAAATATTTTCACAGCCCTCTTTTTGACTCATGCAGTATACAGGTCCTCAATGGAAGGCAGGTTGGTAGCCATTGTTTTTTCCTGCAGTCCTAATTATTCTCTGGAGTCTGTGTCTCTCCTGTTGGGTTGCAGAACCAAACCAGACAGTGATAGAGGTGCAGATGATAGACTCAATAATTCCTCTGTCGAACTGGATCAGCAGCTCCTTGGGCAGTTTGAGCTTCCTGAGTTGGCGCAGAAAGAACATTCTTTGTTGTGCTTTTTTGAGGATGTTTTTGATGTTAGGTGTCCATTTTAGGTCATGTGATATAGTAGGACCTAGAAATTTGAAGGTCTCTACCGTTGATACTGTGTTGTCTAGTATTGTAAGAGGTGGTAGTATGGGAGGGTTTCTTCTAAAGTCTACCACCATTTCTACGGTTTTGAGTGTGTTCAGTTCCAGATTGTTCCGGTTACACCACGAGGCAAGTTGTATAACCTTTACAATTTTTGATTACATGACCAGGGGGATGTTGCAACAGTCGTAAGTGTGAAAAATTGGTTCTAAGTCACTTTTTCAGTGCTGTTGTAACTTTGGTCACTAAACCAACATGGTTGTAAGTCGAGGATTCCATGTCCACAGAAGGTTGGATTGAGACTT